TCACAGGGTTATTGGCGATGGTGGGTGTCTCCGAAATATGAAAAAAAGCGAAAAAAATGTTTTTTTCCAAATCACTTTGCAAACATATTTCAGACTCAGGGGTGTAAAGCGAACTTTTTTTGTAAATTTTGTGTTTGCTTGTAAGGTGGTACGGTCTAATGTACCCACACACATAATTTGACTTTTGTGTCTTTAAAGAGCAGATTTTTCTTTATTTAATTAAAGAGGCCTTCGCAATGAACTTTAATGCTTTTGACAAATAAGCGAAAAAAATTCCATGCGGCGAATACATTAAGACAAGAGAAAATACATTAACAACAATGGCATACATTAACGATAAACACCGACTAGCAGTTGAGAAATGCCACATAAATTTAGAATTATTTTCTTTTTTTTAGTCTTATTTATTTTGACTTCTTTTTATTCTAAGCTTTTAAAGCCGAATTAATCATTTGACCCACTTCAATTAAAAATGCTTTGCAACCGGCGCAATTTTTGGGTAGCAAATGTCAAACGGTTTACTTTGCGATCACAAACTTGTAAAATAATACAATGTATATACTTAAATGTACAAATATGAACAAAAATACATATTACATTTAGTGTGTATGGTACTTTCAACAAGAAAGCGATCAAAGCAAACATTTACACGCTATCGGCGCAAAAGCATACATATTTTGGAAATGAATTAAGTGTACCCGCTCCCATTCAAAATAACTTAGGATGTCTCACTTGATTGCTGCAAAGTACAAATGTAAAAAAGTCTATTCTTAAAAACGCAGTATTTGTACCTCAAGGCAGGAGGATTTGATAATAAACGAGATTTAGGAAAGTAATTCATCCATATTCTTAGAATCTGCTCAACAAAAAATTAGCTGCATGCATGCATGTGAAAAAGTAAAGTCGGAATTTTTTGCTCTCACCCCCTAGATTTATTCTATACCGAAAAAAGTATACCCTTATTTTTTTATTTTAAAGTCAAAAAATATTTAGAGGTCGCCAAAGCGTCCAAAGTTTTCCATGTATTTTATATGGGGAAAAAAACTTTTCGTAGAAATGGTATAGAATAGTTAAAAATCCATATTTTTCTATCAGAAGACTCTTTTTATATGCAGAAGACTCCCAACAATAATACCCGTTGTTTAATTAACCATTTTTTTCATCGCAACTATAAATTATAGGTCCGTCAAAACCCACCAAAACAACATCGAAAAATGCAATGGGTCGACCCCGAATTGTTAAATAAACAATTCGGTATTATTATTGAAAGTCACCTGAAGAGAACCACAGTTTTCCGATCGACAAATATCGATTTTCAAGAATTCTATACTTACTATACTATTTTCTACGAAAAGTTTTATTTTTCCCATATAAAAATATGTACATAAAACTTTGAGCGCTTTGAGCGACCTCTAAATATTTTTTGATTTCAAAATAAAAAAAATAGGGGTATACTTTTTTCGATATAGAACAATCCTAGGGGGTGAGAGCATTACAATTCCGACTTTACTGTTTCTGAACCACCCTAATATACAAATGTATGTTTCTCAGAACACAATAGTCTAGATCAGGTTGTTCGAGAGGAAGTCGCCCGAGTAGCATTAGGATAGAGGATAGCTAACCTCATTCGATAGGTCCTCAAAATCGCCAGATGCGAATCAGATTATAAATGTTAGAGAGAGCAGAGAGACAACATGAAACTTTTTGTAAGATTAGCTTTATTTTGTTCTATAAAATAAGCCGCTGGAAATTGATGTGCGAATATTTTACTTTGCATACTATGAAAGGCAGATCATAAAAGGCTCGAAATAATATGTACAAAGGCCAAAAATAAACACAGACTCCACACTGTACAGGAAAAAATTGATAAGTAACATAAAACACCAGTGTTCCAATCTGTGTTAAAAACTAATCAAAATTTAATTATTTGATAGTAATATAATATAGCGTTTTGCTTAGGGAAAGAGTCTAGATCCGACAACTTTTGTCGACTCGTTTTCGCGAGTTCGTGTTTGTTTCATACCCCGTAACTCTTTTGTATGCAATATTCAGCTGTAAATCGCCATCTAAGAGACAAACAACAATTGCCACTTTACACAACTTGCTAAGCGCTTTTCCAAGTTTTTCCTCCGATTTGTGGAGAGCGCATTGATGTTCTCACACAAATGAAGGAACGTACAGTTTACAGACTTCTTACATTCGATATCTTTTTACGAAAAGCTTTCCATGGCAAAAATACACTCGGGCGTTTGCCATTTCCCTGGGTCGCTTCTAGATCCTTACCTTAATTAGAACGGGGAACGATGCGCCTCAAAGTGTAAGATTTGACCCATCTAGCTGCTTTTAATTCTGTAATTCGAAAACTATTGAAGATAGACAATGAAATTTTGCACAAGGTACGTTATAAGATAGGTGAAGCTTTTTACAAAAAATTTGTCGTCTAGAGTTACTGTCACGCCACCCTATTATATAACTGCAATTTTTAAACAGGCAAAAACTGAAATATTTTACTAACTACAAAGGCTAAAATGCCCAAAATTGATCTTTAGAATTTCCCTATAACAAGGAAGTATAAACTGACAAAATGGACTTAAAAATATATATATTTTTTTTTAAATATGGGCGTGGAAAATATCGATAAAAAGTCAAGTTGGGTCAACAAAATTCCGTTATAAGTTCAATATTTCTTGCTCTGTTTACAAAAGTGGGATACCATTGGAAAGGCAATGAATCAGGCTTTCTCTATTCAAAGCAAAAATACAAGAATTTGTCTCGGTCGGGATAAAATGCAAACGAATTACTCGAAGAAAATGAAATTCATTTCATCAAAACCTGCACTTTCCAGCAGCTAAAATTGTGTTGCTTAAAATCTAAGAGGAGTGGCAAATAAACTGAAATACAAACTTTATCGAATAGTGGCGGATAACTAGTTTGCGGGTCTAATGAAATTAATAAATTGCTAAAAATAAATTTAAGTTAACATCGTTTTACTTTAACATGAAATACTCAGTCCTAGTTTACTAAAATCCCAAAAATGTATATTCATTAAAAAGAACATACCTAATAAAATAAGACCAAAATAGTATTTTAACAATTGTTGCATAAATCACATAACAACGACAAATTAAACATTGAGATTCAGTTTCAAATATTCAAGTTTAAATATTATTGCGTTTGGTAATTTTCCAAATCAAACTCCGTCCCGCCCTACACTTTGATTCAAATTTGTTACTTGTTATTGTTTCGTCTTTATCAGGCATTCCTAAAATCATTTTTGACGTTGTTTTGAAATTTGGCGACATAAAGTAATGTAATTAATATTTTCTAGAATATGGAAATAATACACTGTGCGCCTGTCTCCTTCTGACAAGCATTCAAACTAAATGCTCAGCTAGCTTATTCTAGGATAGATGTTTACCTTATGAATCGAACCTGGGTACTACCTAATGGTAGTGCGCACCTCTCACTACTCGGCAACAATAACTGTACAAAAAGAGCGAACGAAGAAAGTGTTTTGCCGAGCACAGGCTACCTTTACTATGATTTTAGTAGGTTTACTACGATTTTTGAGAATATTTATTACGCTACTCTTCTATATAACCGCTACGAATCGGAGGAGAAGCTCGGCCAAGCACTAACATATTGTGTAACCGCCAATCTACTATTATTATTATCTCTGGATCATTGAAAGTCGTCGCTGTTAAAATGGCTATTCGGTTTTAACAATGAGGAGTTAACTCTCGTTCGGTGGTAAATTAAAATTGACAGTTAATTGTCGAACGTGAGTTAACAGTGAGGAAGTAATATAGAGATACTTGCTTAGTAATTTCTAGTAAGTAGATAAGTATTTATATTAGGCTGGTCCAGAAAAGTAAAGGTGGAGTTTTAACACTCTCGCTCCCTAGACAAAAGTATTTAGAGGCCGGTCAAAGCGCTCAAAGCTTCCCATGTATTTTATATGCAAAAACAAACAGTCTCTTTTATCGATCTTCAACCGAACATTAAAGTGAATGATGGAAGTTTGATTTATTTACTTTATGGTACGGATCATCAATATCGTCTGCTTTATATCCCTCTACAATATTAAATACCTTTGCATCCCAGTATCGTCAGTAAGGTCAGAGGGATTTTCAAGTAAGGCCGGATTAGTTAATAATAATCACCGAACTCTGGACAACCTTTTTCGCAGAAAAATGTTTATACAAACAAATAAAAATATATGTACAGCATATAGCACATTTAGCTTAATACATCAAAAATATTTTATTGAAAATGTAGTTTTTCTTATAAATTAAATATGGCCGATAGTATCGATATATCGATAGTGTTCATCAATACATTAAGCAAGTATCGATAGTCACTACTGTCAATAGTTTTCTATCTCTACTCTCAAACAACAGGAAGAGAAATACAAAAACAAAATATTTTCGCTTCTGACATAATTTGACGCTGGAAAAAGTGCTTTTTGTGTTCACGTACATATTTCTATTTACATAGTTGCTCTCCCGTTGCTCTCACTTAAAAGTGTAAGATTGTTGTTTGACAGTTTCACTTGTTTTAGGCCGAAGAATAAAGGATCAGACCAAATATTAATACAAATTAATGCAAAAATTTTCTAACGAGTTTTATTAATATTACAACTTAGTAAATATATTTTTAATTGCAAAGATCACTAACAATCATCAACCATATGACTACACCATTAGTGCAATTTTCAACATTTTAGCGTTTTAATTTTCTAATTATGCACACATTCCAAAACATTTGCATATATACATATATACCTAAAATTAACATCTGGGAAATTTCTGTTCACCGGCAGCATTTTGTGTTTACAAATGTGCATATATTCACTTGTAATTATTTGAAAATAATTATTTAACGACTCTACTCGTACAAAAATCCATCTCAATAAACACGCAAATTTTTAAATATTTACGACTTCTCACGACATGTGTTATGTTAGACCGCACAGTGCTTTCCCTCCATAAAAAATGTGGGGAAAAAATAGAATGGACGGATTTAACTGAAAATTTTACTTTTCATAAATTTATTTAATTTATTTATAATTTAATTTTTTTTTTTGGAGTTGAAAATTTGGGTTTCATACATAGGTGTGTATCTATGTACATATAGTTCGTTCCTGAAACTTTAAAGTTAAGTGTTTAGTAATATAAAAGGAGTGTATGTAATCAAAATACATAATCACTCATTGGTAATGTTTGTATTTAAATATTTTAATACAATGACAAATAAGAGCTCGTAACCATTTTCTTTGACACACATTTGTAAATATTTCACGTACATATATACATACAATTTTCATAATTAAACTTAATTTGGCTTTAGAATCTTATGAAGAAGAGAGTTTGTTACCCCAACAGCTCTTTAAATATTTTCCTTGCCGCAAATGTTGTTCTTTAAAGTTTTGATATTTTTTTTTTTAATTTGGGAAAATCATTTGGAATATAATACCATTCGTCACATTTTCCAAACTAAATACATAACGTATGTACATATTTACTACGAATAGGAAGCGAATAATATTGAAAATTCACATAATAAAATTCCGGTCCTGGTACCTTCTTTTTATTTGTCTATATTTCAATGTCCGCAACTGAGTCAAGCTTTCTCAAGTGGGCCACCCAAAGTTGACTTTTCGAATTTTTATATTTCATTGACCGGTTTTGAAAGTTTACATGGTGTGGAATATTGACACCAAAGATTTTGCGA